AGGTTACGTTCTTCTACGTACGTCCTACGACGACCTACCTACCTACCCTCCGTCGTACTTGTCTCGTAGTACGTACTCTCTTCCTTACCGTTACTCTCTCTCTCTCTCTCTCTCTCTCTCTCTCTCTCTCTCCTGCTTGTATTATTCTTCCAAGACTGACTCTCTATCTCTGTCCTCTCTCTCTCTCTCTCCTGCTTGTATTATTCTTCCAAGACTGTCTCTCTCTATCTCTGTCTTTGTTACCATGTCATACTTCACACAAGCTTCCAAACCCAAAGGGTCAGGAGGATCTGTTTCCAGCCCCGTGATATTCACCCGTATCCAAATGCCCAGTCATGAAAACCACAAACCTCTCATCCTCTATTTGGCATTTTCAAACTCCTAAACAGCAAAAATTTCTATTAAACCAACAATACTGAAACACAAGTCTTCATTTACACATATATAAACACGGGTTTTCCATAATCCCGATCACCATCAAATCCATTTGAAAGGATCCAAACTTCTCGAGCTGAGCCCAGTTTGTGACCATGGTTCCCTCTCTATTCCCTTCTCTTCATACTCTTTAACTCATAAGTTGTAACATCAAATGAGGCACCATAGCTGTCTCTTAGAATCAGGCCATTTTATGGATGATTTTGCATTGTGTTAATTCCACATTGATAGGGATAAATATCTTAGATGTGACCGAACCAGTAAGTTCTGGCTTAAGAGGACTCAAGAACTAGTAGGGTTAGGGCAAAGAGAAAACTGTTGTGAAAGCAACACAGGGTTAGTCGAGCTTGAGCTCTTCCTAATCCCCACATCGACCTCAGCTATCTTAGTACCCCACCCTTGCAACGAATCTATAGAGACAAACCGCTTTCTTCTTGTAGGCTATTTTCTGGTGACTAGTGGTTCCCAGAAGCCACAGTGACTAGACTGGTTATCTGGCCACAGAATATCAGCCAGTTAGAAGATTACGCCCAAGTTCTGAGCTTTCATGGAAGGCCTTTGACTGAAGGTCAACTGAACTCAAAATTTTCAGCAATCTTCCCAGTGAACAGTGGCCTAAAAATTGTGGATTAGCTTCTCCTAAGAGACCAAAATCTGGTTTTGGTCTATTTCAAAGGTGGTTCAACATTGAGAAAACCCAGTTGTGTAAATAGACCAACTTTATTTATGGGATTTTTGTAAAATAAATAGTTTAGATAATATTATTTAAAACATATAAAGTGAGGATATTGATAATAAAATTTCTAAAAAGGGGATATCACTAGCTTTTGGGCAGCTGGTGAGCGCAATTTTGGGTTTACGAGTCTTCTGTAGGATGATCCCAATTTCCCAACAATCCCCTTTTCTTTTTCTTGCAGAGCTTCTTTCATTGGAAAAATCGGCTGTTCTAACCGGTAACCTCCCGGTTAGTGGCCGGTTCCGGTTTCGGTCAGTTTTGGTGACCAACCGGGTATTTAATTTTTTTTTAAAAAAAAGTTATATAAAATCCCAAAAAATGAAGGATTTTGTTTGTAATGTATTTTTTAATGTTTTTCATCCTTATGGAAAAAACTGGAAATTATTTTGGTCATTAATATTTATTTTTACATTTTCCTATGTTTTTTAGAAAATTTCAAAAATACTCCTGGATACAAATTTATTCTTTAAAATTCATTTATTTATTAATTTTCAACCTCATTTGGATGTGCTTTGTTTCATCATTCTTTAAATATACTTTTCATATTTTAGTTGATTCTTTTGTTTTATTTTTTGTATTTTTTTTGACACTTTTTTGACTGCTCGGGACTTGCCCGGTTAGAAAGGTTTAACCGCCCGGTTTACCGGTTAGGCCGGTTGAACCGCTTTCCTACCCATGTCTAGTTAACCATTCCGGTTCGATTTTTCCTACACTGGTATCTTTGGATGTATGTGGTGACATCTATACAATCTACATCTATGAATTAACATCTATCTCGGCTTCTGTTGTGTAAAAAGCTTTTTCTTTTAGTAGTACTTGTTACTTTTTGAGAGGGATTTGTTAATTTTATGGCGTTGTACCTTAGTAGAAATCATCGAGGTGACTGACTCCAATGTAAAGTTTTTGATTGCTTGAATTTTGGAGTGCTCCCTACCTTCTTTTGTGTAAAAAGGCCCCTTACCTTATAAAGGGATTTCTCCAAGTCCATCGGGGTGACTGACTCTACCACAGCAAAGACAGTTGCCCTCCTCGACGGCCTGTGGAACCTCGACTCCAGTTGGGGCACTTTGTTACTGGCCGAGGGAAATTCCTCGAATGTTATTACCTGGGCCTCTGATGTGGCCCCTTGCCTGTGGAGATTGGCTCATTTTTTTGATGAAATTGAGCATAGATGCAGGGGCTATCGAGTTTCCTGGAAACACATTTGACGTGCGGTGAATGCAGTAGCGGTTGCGTTAGCCAGAGAAGGAGCAAGCCTCAGCTAGAGCTTCTCCCTTCACCTTTTTGATCCTTAAGAGCCATTTTTGAGTGCTTGAATGATGTAAAAGTTTTGCTTCTTTGTACTTCAGTGTAGAGCCCATTTGAAGTGGGCCTTCTGCCCTGTAAGGGGAGCTACACTTGTATCTATTTTAATACAAGTTAAGATATTCGAAAAAAACAAGTAGCACCTCAAACAATCCTTTTGCAGGACTATGACCAGGAATCAGTGGTGATGACTAATAAAAATGGGCAGAAATTTTTGTGTTTCTTGCCGAAGATTGAGGAGAAGAAGGATGGGAAGTCAAATAGTCAGCAAAATAGCAGCAATGTGATCATGGAATCTGGCAAGCTGGTTAAGACGCCGGATGAATTGATTGACGAGCTCAAGGACCAATGCTTCGAAAGAGTGAGAACTTTTCTGTTTTATAAGTTTTTTAGGAGTGACAATATTTCATCAGAATATAGTGTAATGCGTGAGTGTCAAATTCAGAGAAGCAAAGTATATAATAGTCCCATGGACTATGGTGTGTTCAGTCCATTGGGATCTCATTTCTGA